AAATGTTCTAATATTTTCTCCCTGCATGTCAGCAGATCGTTTTGTGCACCTCCATTGGGAAACCACAGGGGCAGGGCAAAGACAAGGAAGGGTAGCAGAAGCAGAGGAACTGGAGGAAAGGGATGGAAGGAGAAGCAGCAGCATTTGGTGTCTGATCAGACGTACGAGGTGAGGGAGGAGAAGGCAGGTGAGGACAAAGGCAAAGTTCTAACAAAGTTCCAGCTTGGAACACGTAGGAAATGATTACCACCATTAGTAAGCAGTGAGTATGAAAGAAGGAACATGCTTTTCGTTGAATATAATGATAAACTTACTGTTCCATGTTGCTTTTTGCCTGAAGATGTTTTAATACCATTTCCATTTAGCAAGAATTGGAGGAAAAAAGAGGAAGTACTGAGTTTTACCTAATACAAGACTTTTATAGCATTTTGTTTGCCTTCTATTTTGCATATAGTTAAGTGCTCGTTAAATATTTAAGTGAGCATTTAAAATTACAGTTAAACTTTTATTATAAGTGTTCATTCCTTTTCACCCTGTAGGATACTTTAGGGGCAGATGAACAATGTTTCAGTTTTTTGAAAACTGTTGGCCCTGGAAATTTTTCCATTTAAAAAGTTCAAGAATATGAAAAATAAGATTGTATCAGAATCATCTTCTTGAGATCCTTACTTTCATTGCTGTCAAGATATAAAATATTCTGTGTAATCTGAAATTTATTTTCAATAGTTTTCCCATTGCGATTTCTAAGAATCATGATTTTATTCTATATTTTGGTTTGAGGTCTGTCTTCAATAAAGTGATTTGCTTTCATTTTTAACTGCTATGTCAGATAGTCAGGTTTAGAGTAAGTAGTTAGCAAATCCAGCAACTCCAAGTCAGATTTAGAGACAAAAATAACCAATGTTGTTTTGCATATCAGGATTATGTTTGTGGAAGAAGCATTGTACTTAGATGAGTGCCCAGGAACAAGGAGCAACTGTAATTTATTTGCTTAATTTATAAATTGGTATCAATTCAATGTGAATTGAATTACTTATGAAATTCTTATGACATGAACTCAAAGCAAAGTTCATGCTAGGCAGCCATAAACCAGCGAATCTGATACTCCAAGTATCACTCTGCTTCCCACCAGACACAGAACCGTATCTTCATGTACCTGAATAAAGTTAGATTGTGCAGATCTATTAAAAATGACATTTCTGTTACTCTCTCTGCCAAGAGAGCGTGGAACAGGTATAGACATTTAAGTTCTGAATAGTTCACCTTTTTTAATTTGCAAATGAAGAATGATTTGTCTACTATTATAATAATATTTATTGAGACCTTACTGTGTTTAAGGCACTATCCTAGTCCTTTTATATATATACAAATATATATATTTTGTAGCTGTCATAACAATAGTTATTCCCATTTTACAGATCAGGAAACAAGGATCACCATTTTCCTGGGTCATGCAGTTAGGCCTAGGTAGAAGTAGAAGTCAGGTGGTCTGACTCCAAACCAGTGTTTAAACCTTTTTGTGATTGATTCTCAAATTTGGCTGCTCTTCAAAAGCATCTGAGAACTTTACAAAAATAAAATCTGAATCTCTTAGGAATGTAGGAATGATGTCTGGACATTGACATCTGTTGGTATTTTTAAAACATCCCATGAGGAGCATACTATGAAACCAGAATTAAGAGCCACTACTCTGTAATTATATTGCTTGTTTTAGAATTAATTTCACTTAATTTGGTAGAATAATCCGATAGTAGGACATAAAGCACATCTAAAGATTTAGGACTAGAATGGAACCACGGTGAAGATTTTACATACCTACCCACATAAATAAATCAACTCAATATATATGATTTTTGTTTTTATACTAGAATTGTGGGCCATATAGCTTAACATACCAGAAATAACGAAAGCCATTTTTAAGGAGAGAACCAGAAAACTCTAAAACTATAAAAGTACATGTAGTTTAGTGAATATTGTTTCTACATGGAATTCCAAGTTTTAATACCATCCCTAATTTTTCCAAGCTTTAATTCATTATCATGTGTTTAAACATTTGACAAACTACTTGTATTTTAATAGTAAATATTGTACACATTCATAAGTATGATCTATTATAATAAAATAACTAATAAAATATTTCCATACTTTTGATTTTCAGAGTTGGGGAATTCTGTTTTATAAACGTAGATGAAACTATTATGAATACAGACAGCTGTATAAATAAAAATACTCATTGCATTTAATTTTCTTATTGGCATTGGCTATGATGTTAGAAGAATATAAAGTTGAGATTAACTTAATCTCGACTACATGTCTAGTTATTTCCTGCTGTGGGATAACAGAATGAACGAGAAAATTTATCATGCTTGTGAACAAAAGTGATTGAATTAAGATTACCATGAGACTTTTCATCTCAAATCTCCTGAGCAGGCACGCTCACCTCACATTTATAATGTTCTGTTAACTGAAATGTGGTTATTCAACAAAGAGTTCTAAATGAATAAGTGAGAAATCCAAGTCTGTAATGGGCAGAATAGGATGTTCCTGTGGGTTGTTTTAAAGCATGCCATTTTGTAAAGAAAAAAATTAGTGCAGCGTTCCTTTTTTGTATGTTAGAAACATTAAAAAAAATTTCCAGAATTTTAGAGTTAAAAGTGACAATTGCTTTAGTTATATGTAAACTCAGAGAGGCAGTTGTGTTTAAGGGTATACAACTGTTCAACTAGTGACAGAGCTAAAACTAGACACGGTATCTCTGTTCCCTGTTTCTCTTCAGATTACACACTTACCCTAGGGGAAAAAAACAGATTTAACAAATCTGTTTATGGTTCCAAATTTTTTTCTTTCAAGCTTTGTTTTTCCAGACCATGAAACATTAAATGTAAACACATACATATATATATATATATATACCTTTAAAAATTACATGTGTATGTTTACATATGTTTTTTAGAAAATTTTTAGAAATTAGAAAAATTTCAAGAAGAGAATCCATTTAATTCATTGTAGATTGTTAATAGGAAGATAATCAGTTTTGTAGATTATCCAACTCGCATCTAACTTTCAGTTCTGGGAAAGTACCTTGAAATCATGTGGGTAGGCCTAATGATGTAGTAAAAAATAGAACACAGAAGACTGTAACTGTGGCCAAGATGACTGTTCTTACATGATAATAGGGTGGAACCTTGATTAGTGGCATGGTGACACTCCTGCTAATGGCAGAAAAGGCTCGTTAAAGGCATTGAGCCCATGGTTTTAGGCCTCTTCTGCACCCCACGGGGGCTGTGTTGTGACCAGCAGTAATCTCCATGGAGGCCTCACATGCCTATCTACTTTGCCATGTGTTTCCTCTGTGAGGCTCGTTACTGTTTGGATACAAAGCAAGGTCAAGCTGTATTTGTAGTATTACACTGAGTTCAAGGCCTCATTCTCACTAGTTGTTGATTGTAGACCAGTCTTTTTGGTCTCGCCTAGCTCAAATAGAGAGCAGCAAACTCAGACTCTAATCACATTAATGAAGCTTTGCATCTACCTAAGAGAGAAAAATCATGTGCCCCCTCCTCCCTCCCATTCATTTAAGCAATATAGGGTAAGTATTGACTCTAAGACAGTCTTCAAATCTGAGTGGTATGTGAAAAAATCCAACTTAATTCTAAGACTTAGAATTCATTCCTTTCAAGAGACCGTGCATAATCTATCGGGACATGCGTAACAGTAGTGGTGGAGAAACTATGTGGTGATCCAGGTTTCTTGATAGTGTGGCCTTGTTATTTTGTAGGCAATGATTTCCCAGCCAGAGATATAGCCATATTGAAAGATAACCACATATCTGTGTTCCCAAGACTAGCATAGAATCTCTTTGAATCATTCACCAAATACACTATACGTGTGCCTCAAGAGTCTACTTTCCAAGCATGTACTATACTTCATTAATGATAAAAACAACCCTATTACTCAGATTCTGAATACTAGACTACGTTCTGTACCTTAAACTACAGCAACTTGTCAAAATTGTGACAAATGTAATTATGGTACAAATGCTATCTTTCAAAATATGTATGAAAATAATACATCTCAGTAGATCATGTACTTAGTATTTTAGCAGTGGGGATTGGTTCGCATTAAGTCAGAATTTGTTTAAATAGGACCATTGTGTTTATACAGGTAGGTTACTGACTCCACAGCTTGGCATCTTACAGAGATAATGACACATTTTGGTGGATTTGAATTTCCAAAATTCTTTGCCAGGTGGGAAAGGGGAAAATTGCATATACATTTAATGGCATTTCATGAATAGGCCATTTTCTTTTTTGTCAAAAATATGAAGAAAACATAATAGGTAGAGATGCTTTTAGATTTGTCATGCTTCCAATAGCAAAAATACAAATAGTGCTGAAAAAGTCCTTTTACATAGACATTTTCAAGGCAATATTCTGAACAAATTACTTTTGTCATGGTGGGCTGAGGGAGAAAGACATTATGTGTTATAAACCTGTTTTTTTCCCTGCATACCTGTTATTCGTAATGTTCAGTAAAAGTGACATTTCTGCTAAGAACTGTAATGAAGATTATTCCACATACTAAAATTTTCAGTTACGTCGTTGGACAGTGAGAAAACATAGAGAACCCTGTATTATAATCTCGTAATTCTTCTGCATGACTTCTACATATTATGCCATTCATTTACATTTTTGAAGTACATAATCGTGTATTTGTTTTCAGGATTACAGCTCCACATTATTCAAAATGCACTTTTCTGGACAAAAATATCGTCTTTTTCTGTTCTGTGGTGTGGCAGAGTCCTGTTGCATTGAAGCTTTTATTTATAAGAAATGTACTACACAAGGGTGTTAGAAATAACTTTGCAATAAAGGAAGCTCTGTGGTGGAAGCAAAAGGGCAATAGTAGATAAATTGTGCAAGAGGCTGCTTGTTTGGAAATCAAATTTAATTTCAAAGAGCTTTCAATCACTAGTTAATATAACTGCTTTAAATTTACAGACAGTGGGAGTAGCTCACCGTTACCCAAGTATGCTTCATCTCCCAAACCAAACAACAGCTACATGTTCAAACGGGAGCCCCCAGAGGGATGTGAGCGAGTGAAGGTCTTTGAGGAAATGGCGTAAGTAATGTCTTTTCTATCAGCTGGGATCTGCAAAGCTGTAAAGCTTTTTACCGAGACCAGTTGATTACAGATGAATCAACTACTCCATCCAGCTGATAATGTGTTTCAAATTCAAAATTCTCCTTATGAAAGGAGAATTGAATAGGCAGAAGAGCTCTTATTAAAGAAGAATTGAAGTCTGTGTGCTGGAAATATATAAGCTAATACAAAAGAAACTTGTAAATTCATCCTTAGTAGCTAAAAGATCTATTTTTAATCATTTTAGACGTTTCCCTTCAAAGGCTCTATTAATTTAGATGGCTAACAGTTACACCGACATTTAGCAGCAGAGTTAATATCCATGTATAGCTAGCGTAATGACAGTGATTTCACAAGCCAGAGGGAAACTAGTCTGTTTCTCTTTAGATACATCTAGTGTGTGTATTCATTGAATTTAGACATTCTGTTCACAGATTTTTTTTTTCTTTTTGAAATTTTTGTATGTATAAATTAGAAATTAAGAGAAAAGAGGTTCATACTATAAATACTTGGCAGAATAGCTCAAAGAAAGATAAGGACGATGTGGCTCATGGGCTCTGTCAT